TGCAGTCAGTTCATCCAGATTACCATCCTGCCTTCCAATATTATTTCTGTCGGAGCCGCTCAGACCCCCACATACCAGCGGTGCGCTGACAGTAGGAATTCCTTCAACAGCAGCCTCTGGCCGGGTCGCCTCCTCGCGGTTCACCGCGGCGGCTAGTAGGTGTTTTTCATCTAAATAATCCGCAGGCACCAGAATAATAAAAGCGAACATATTCTGCCGGCAGATTTCTGCATTTTAAGATAATTTATGCGTCAATAAACTGTTTCAGAGGAGTGATCACAGCGCTCTGTATCATCAGGGATGTGTCTGTCTCTCTGCCAGCTCCCAGATCAGCTTCTCTGATTGGTTGACGCGGCGCGTCGAGCAGCAAAAGTTAAATTTTTCCATCTCGAGCAGCAGTGCGTTTGCAGCGCGTCACGCGCGTCAGATGCTTAAACGCGCCCGACACTGCTCAGACGCTCAGACCTTTTGCTGCGGCTTGACGCGCGTCAACCATTGACTTTGCACGTAAACTCGCTGCTTCTGCCGCGCCTGCTGCGTCTGGTGTGAACGCAGCATTAGGTTAATTGGCTTCTCTAAATTCTCCTTAGGTGTGAATGCGAATGGTTGTTTGTCCTGTTTGTCTCTGTGTTGCCCTGCGATGGACTGGAGACCTGTCCAGCATGGACCCCGCCTCTCGCCGCTAGACAGCTGGAGATAGGAACCAGCTGCCCCCGCGACCCCAGCAGGGATAAGGGGAATGGAAAATGGATGGATGGATATTTATATATTTTCTAGATGCGCAATAAATATTTAATCTTTAATGAAGAATAAAGCTGTTTCGTTCTTCATCAAATTGGTGACGTATCTTTGCTTATAGACTCTCATTTAAAGTTGCCCATGCGCAGTAGCTCCTCTTCAATGCTAAAGATAGGAGCATCCTGGGGAGCAGCTCTCCTGCAACCGGAGCTGAAAGCAACTTTATTTGCTCACCACCTCCTGCCACAGCGCTGACGTCACAGTCGTCTGTTATAAAGTGCAGCTGATTGCAGGTTTATAGAATTATTTAGCAACAAGGCTTGGCTAACTGCATGCAGCGAGGCTACATCTTTATTCTGCTTTCCTTGACTCCTTTTTCAAACGTCAGGATCTGACCCAGCATGGATTAGGCCAGATTGGACTGATTTTAAAGCACTTTTTAGAATATTTTATAAGGTTTTTTTGTTGATGGCATTCATGTATATATACTGCTGTGAAACCTTAGATTGTTTTTTGGTATAAATATATTTTGAAGTTATAGCCAGACGGGGGAAAACTCCACCAGCCGCCACTCTTTCCTGAATCTCATACTGTAGTTATTGGTGATAAAACCAGCATCTGCGCTCTGAAGAGTGAAAATAAACTGTAACATCAGAGCTCCTGTGGACAGAGATGGGAAGTAACGAAGTACAAATACTTCGTTACTGTACTCAAGTAGATTTTTCTGATATTTTTACTTTACTTTACTACTTATTTTTA